GAGGTCTCACCATCTTGTCTGACCATACTTCTTCCCAGTGAGATTTGTTTGTCCTTTTGGCGGTCCACGGTACTGATAAGACCTGCCTGTAGGTCCCAGAAAGAAGCCCGGGCGGCAACGTCAAAGCCACCCAGCAGATGAACAAAGCCCAGAGCTTCGGACCCCCACCCCCGCCCTACGGGGCTCCGATGAGGTCCCAGCAGGCGTCTGGTTGGCAGAGCGGGGTTCCGTGTTGGGCTGCTGGCCGCTCTGCCAGAATGACCGTCTCAGCAACTCACAGGGGCAGTTCAACCTTGTCCTGCGCGCTCGCTAGGAGTCGGCATCGACTCGATGGCGAGACTTTGGTGTTTTTGAGAAAAACGAACTGTTTTCCTCCAACCCTCGTGCCAGCTCCTCCTGCGGTGCATGAAAGCCCACGGAGGCCCACGCACTCACAGACGCGGCCGTACACGCTGCCCAGTCTAAGGCCTTCGCACGGTCGGTTCCAGTCCTCCTTGCCACTGTCCTTCCAGTTGGTCAGAATGCTTCCAGCCCACGCTCTTCCCAGACCCCCACACCACCGACGGACAGAGCCGCCGCCAGTCTGTCTACCTGCCCCTTGGATGTGTCCACACCCCCGGGACGGGCACCTGGCAGCTCCCCCTCTGTGAGGCGAAGGGGCTCGCCCAGGAAGGGACCCAGAGACTCGAGAGCAGCCAGCAGCGCGCAGCGGCCCGAAGCTCCCCGGGGTGCGCCCCGAGCTCGTACCTCGATGTACTCTTCCTCGTCCAAAACCCGCTGCTTGCTCGTGGCCGGTCGCGCTTCCCCCGCCGCGCGCTTCCGCCCGGGCCCCGGCGCGGCGGGGAGCAACAGGGGCCCGGCGGACAGCCCAGGCGTCTCCATTGCTATCCCAGCACCCCCCGGGCGGGACACGTAACGAAGGGAGGCGGGCCTAAACTGGCTCCGCACCAATAACGCAGGCGCCTGACCGAGCGAGCGGCCCGGCCCGGTGACGTCATGGACAGCGCTAGCCCTGTCGGGAGTTGTAGTCCCTTTCCCTCAATACGCCTCTGGGCCGTGGACCCTAGGGGGCGTGGGGGCGTGTCCTTCACTTTATTCCCTGCTGTGTATCAATGCTGGCCCACAACCACCCAATAGGAGCCCGAGAAACTACCCCTGTGGGTTTCTGAAACTGTAACCCTTTAAGGAATAGAAAGCCATGTCTTTCGGCGGAAAGGCTGGTGGTTTCGGACTGCTGACCCTCCTCCGCCACCCTGCCCTGCGCGTGCTTCAATGCAGTTAACAAGCATGCTTCCGAAAGCCTGGTTATTTATAGGCGTTTCAGGTTTTAAGTGCACCCTGAAGGGATTGCAATGAATGGCGTGCAATGCACGATGGATTGCGGGGTGTAAAACTGATGATCTGTTCTGTGAACCTTCACCCAATTCACATGCAAGAGGTTTGGGGCCTTTGGTTTTTCAGTTTAAATTCAAACTTTATGCAAGAAAGGAATCCTAAAATAATTATGGCTCTGATGATTGTTACCTAACCAAACAAGACAACAACAACAAAGCAAAAACAAAAAAGTGCCGCTCGTTATCGTGGGGTCAATTCTGACGCATAGGACCCTATAGGACAGAGTAGAACTGCCCCGTGGGCTTTCGAGGCTGTCCATCTTTCTGGGAGCCCTGGTGGCACAGTAATTGCAAACCTCAAGGTCAGCAGCCAGCTCCCAAGGAGAAAGACAGGGTTTTCTACTCCCATAAAGAGTTTCAGTCTCAGAAACCCACAGGGGGCAGTTCTACCCTGTCCTACAGGGGCGCTGTGAGTCAGAATGGACTTGACGGCAGTGAGTCTGAATGACTTAATCTTTATGGAAATAGAAAGCTTCATGCTTCTCCCAAAGAGAAGACTGGTGTGTCTGAACCAGCGACCTTGAAGTTCATGGGTTCCAACATGGAACGCACTACGCCACCAGGGTACCTTCAAAAAAAAAAACAGCAGGGTGACATAAAAACAATTGTGAGGATGATTTGTGACTGGGCAGTGAGTGTTTTGTTTGGTGTACATAGGGTTGTCATGAGTCAGAACCAATTTGACACTATCGAACAACAACAATGTAAACAAATATATATTTACTCTTCATTTATTGACTATCTCAATATCTGACATTTCATGTGTATGACAATACAAAACCTACTATCTGGACACAAATGACAGATTGTGATGAGTTGTATGAGCCCCTAATAAAATGGTTATTTAATAAAATTTTTTAAAAAGAAGCACACATATACCCATTGTTCGCTGGGATGATACCTTTTCTATCTCTTTAACACCATCTCCTTAATATCTAATAAAATGCCTTAAAACAAATTTAAAAACCCTACTATCTGACTACTATTGTTGCACAGTAATAAATGGCAAAGTGGAATGTATGAGTGACATGACTATGATAGTTTTTATGTCAGTTTGGATTTTTAGGCATTTGATGGCATCTGACAGTATGTAACGATGAAATGTGGCAGGTCTATAATGTCTCCACACTGATTTTTATATAACAACTTGGAATTGGCTGTACCTGTTAATGCTATGTGGCCATACTATTTTATGTTATATTTTCCTGTAAATGGGGAAGTGTGTACACTCTTCTACAACTTGGTTTCTTTGGCCAACACAGTATTTCTCAGATAAATCACTTTTAATCCACACGTTCTTTCCCTCTCATCCACACATTCCTCCTATAAAGTTGATGTGTAGTAACTATGTTAAAGAATAAAGAAATCATCTCAAAAAAAAAAAGCAGGTGGTGCAGTCAATGTTGAAAGATTACTAGGCTGCCCCCAAGAGGCAGCCTAGAGGAATTCCGACTCATCTAGGTAATTTTTAAGAACTAATTCCTTCCCCGAAGAATGACAGCAAACAAATGAATTCTGTCCAAGTAAATGTGGTACAAGTTTGTTTGTGCATCCCTCTGTTCCTGCCCTGGTAGAGCTGACAGCCTATGGGAAAGACAAAATACTTTTCAGCTCAACCACTTCAGAAGCAAGCATAAACTTGTCTTTGTGGCAATCACAAGCCAAGAGTTGGTACTTGGGAAAAGAGCAGTTCAGAACCACCCAGCCGCTCCATGGGAGAAAGAGGAGGTTTCTACTCTCATAAAGAGTCTCAGAAACCCACAGGGGCAGTTCTACTTTGTCATCTAAATGGGAGAAATCAGTTAGGCGGCTAACGGCCAGGTTAGCAGTTTGAAGCCACCAGACGCTCCTCAGGGGAAAGACAGGGCTTTCTAAAGAGTTACAGTACCTGAGTGCTCCTTAGACGAAAGGGTGGCGAGACTTCATCTCACGTACTGCCAGGAGAGACCGGTCCCTGGAGAAGGACAGCATGTTTGGTAACATAGAGGGGCAACAAAAAAGAGGTCGGCCCTCAACAAGACAGACTGACACATGGCTGCAACCACGGGCTCGGGCATAGGAACCACTGAGAGGATGGCACAGGCCTAGGCAGTGCTGTGTTCTCGTGCGTATAGGTCCCTCTGGGTTGGAACCGACTCAATGGCACCTAACAACAACAACAAGAACAAATAGTTACCGTCTCAGAGACTCACAGGGGTGAGTCTAACCTGTCCTATGGGGTTGCTAGAGTTGGCATCGACTCGATGGCCGTGAGTTTGGTCTGGGTTTTGCAGGGGAAGTCCAAGGGAGTTGTCCTGGGCTGGGAGTGATTGCAGCGCCAAAGGACAAGGAGACCTTAATCAAGGGAAGAGCATGTGAAAAGAGCCAATGGGGAGCAAGTTCCAAAGAAGACTTTTAGCATACGCTGAGAGGCGCCTTGGTGGCATAGTAGTTGTGTGTTGGGCTGCAATCCTCAAGGCCAGCAGTTTGAAACCACCAGACTCTCTAACAGAGAAAGACAGGGCTTTCTACTCCCGTAAAGAGTTACAGTCTCAGAAACTCAGAGGGGGTGTTACGCCCTGTTCTATAGACTCTCTCTGAGTTGGCACTGACTCAATAGCAGTTGATTTCTGGGTGGTTTTTTTTTTTTTGGGGGGGGGTTTGAGGTTGAGATGAAGCTAGAGGGGCAGAGTCAGACCAGCAGAGCCACAAGAGCCATGAGGAGTTTCAACTTGATCTTGGAGTAGCGAGAAGCCCTTGGAGTACTGGAGGCAGGGGAAGGGCAGCTTCCATGTAGTGCTGTGATCTAAGCATTCAGCTGCTAACCTCAAGGTTGGCTGTATGAACTTACCAGCCACTCTGGGGTATAGAGATGAGACTGCTTGCTCATCTGTAAAGACTTATAGTCTTGGTGACTGTATATAGGAGCCACTGTGAGTTAGAAGGAGGCCTGGTGGAATGATGGTTGGCTTAATGGCAGGGACTTGGGGTTTTTTGCTCAGGGAAAATGAATTAAAGATGAACCAGAGTGTGTGCAGGCAGATATGAATGCAGTCTGTCCATCTTTATCGGATCGGACAGTCTCATCTTTCTCCTGAAGAGCAGCTGGTGGGTTTGAACTGCTGGCCATGCAGTTAGCAGTTCAATGCTTATTGGAGAGTGCCAGGTTGTCCTGGAAGTGTGGGTGAGGATGAAGGAGGATTCCAGGTGATCTCCAACCCTCCTGCTCCTGTGTGTTGTCTGAACACGGGAAGAGCTCACTGTGGATAAAGTTGTTGAAAAGCTGGTGGATTTCTGAGGGGAGGAGTCAAGCAACTAGTCCGGAGAACTGGGACAGATGTATACGGGTGGCCCAAAATGCCCAGCCAACCAAACCGATTGCACAGAGTCAGTTCCGACTCATGGTGACCCTCTAGGGCAGAGTGGAACTGTCCCTGTGAGTTTCCAAGACTGTAAATCTTTCAGGGAGTAGAAAGCTTCATCTTTCTTCCAAAGAGCAGCAAGCTGATGGTTTCAAACTGCTGACCGTGCACTTAGCAGCCCAACTTGTAATCCACTAAGCCACTAGAACCCAAACCGAACCAAGCTTACTGGGATCGAGTTCATTCTGACTCATAGTGACCCGATAGGACAGAACAGAACTGTCCCTATGAGTTTCCAAGACTGTAACTTTTTATGGGAATAAAAAGCTGAGAGTCTTTCTCTCATGGAGAGGCTGGTGGTTTCGAAGTGCTGACCTTGCGGTAAGCAGTCCAATTCATAACCACTATGCCACCAAGGCATATACTATTTTTAAAAAATCCAAAAAACAGAAACAAACTCACTGCCATCAAGTCGCTGCCAACTCACAGTGACCCTATAGGACAGGACAGGACTGTCCTTGTGAGTTAAGACGAACTCTTTTAGGAGAGCAGAAAATTGGCTCCTGAAGATGGGAGAAGCCGAGGAGGGAGGGGTGATGCTTTGGAGTGAGACTCAAAGGTGTAAATAGCTAGGCAGAAGGATCAGTCAGAGAGGGAGGAGAAACACAGGAGGTGGGCAGAGCCCCTGGTTCCTGGAAGGTGAACTAGGGCTAGCTCGGGATGCCTGGCTGCCTTACAGAATCAGGAAGAAGCCACTCAGTCTAGCTCTTCAAGGGACCGCAGGCGCAGTGACAGGGGGATGTTCCCCTCTGCAAGGTCACAGTTCCCTCCCTAGATGCCCAAGAGCAGTTTCCAGGATTCAGGGAGAAGAGGGCCAGGAAGACTAAAGCCATCTCCTGGCCAGGGAAGTCCTGAGCCCCCTGCCCTGCAGGCACCAGCAGTGCTTGGCAGCTTGGGCTGAAGGAATGTCCCAGGCGCCTCTACTCCAGTTTGCGCACTTTTTATGAATGAGCGACATACTCAACACCAGTTGCCTGCGAGGTGACCTTGGCTCATGGATGGACCCCATGGATGTCCGTGAAAAACCCGGCTCCATGGAGTTTTGAGCAGCTGAATTTCTGAGAAATTCATTGCCAGGCCTGTCTGT